AGTGCTGTACTCACCTGCGTAGGCATACATCTGTGTGCAAGTGCAAACACGTTTCCTGTGCACCAGGCAGTCACTGGATCATTACTCCCCAAAGGCTGAAAAACTTAACCAAGGGGGTGAAATAACTGTGCTTCAGCTTATTATTTGCACTATTATAGCACAGAAAAATGGTCTGAGTGTTGCATTTACACTAGCAAAAAACTTTAACCCCTTAAACACTGTTAATGCCAAGTGAATTGTGGAAAACGGACATCAGATAAATGAGAGATCTGTGAAGAGTTTTTTTCACTGTCTGCAGGAATAACATGTATGTTCTGGTTATCCTGAAATGGTTCTCTTATATATTCCTTTTCAGTATTTCCTGAATGGAAAGGTAGGAAGCACTGAAGCTAACAATATTCTTCTTGCCAATTATTTTGGCTGCCAGCTCCAGCACAGATTCTCCAAATCGACATGGCCAATTAGTTGTGTTTCCTGTCCTGTTTCTGGATGTAAGTGATTTCCAACAGAGACCAACTTGCAGAGGTTCCTGCAGGATCAACCAATTACCAACATCCCATTGGCAAATGTGGTCGCAGTACTTAAAGAGCTGTTCTAAGCTGGAAGTCGTTCTCACCTGCTATTACATGTCTTAGTTTTATAGGTTTTGCACACTTCAGAGATACCAGAAACTGCAACAAGGAAAAGCAATGCTGTGATTGTGATTTAGAATATTGTTCTGGCAATGCGCCATCTTTTGTTGGCTTAATCATAGCACACTGGTAGGTCGTGTAAGCAGGGGCTGTATCCAGAATAAATTTGTTTCTTTCCATCATGTCTGGCCTGTTAAATTTAGACTGATAATAAATGTGCTTTGTGGATACAATCCCATAACGCTTACACAAGCAGCGACTACTTATTCTAATAATTCTACCCAAGTGACTACATGTTCTTGTTTGTCATTTGCTTGGTATTCTGAAATGGAGCTTGCTTTCATTCAGAGGAACTTGCTGTAAGTGATTCTTTGTTTATTCTTGCGATCTGATCAATGTGTATAAGTATCTGAAGGGGGAGTGTCAAGAGGATGAGGCCAGCCTCTTCTCCGTGGTGCCCAGCAACAGGACAAGAGGCAACGGGCAGAAACTGAACCACAGGAAGTTCCATCTGAACCTGAGGAAAAACTTCTTCACTGTGAGGGTGACAGAGCACTGGCACAGGTTGCCCAGAGAGGTAGTGGAGTCTCCTTCGCTGGAGATATTCAAAAGCCGTCTGGATGTGATCCTGGGCAATCTGCTCTAGGTGACCCTGCTTGAGCAGGGAGGTTGGATTGGATGATCTCCAGAGGTCCCTTCCAACCTCAACCGTTCTGTGATTCTGTGATCTATTCTTTATCGTCAGTCTTTTATATTTCAGAACAGTACAAAGGTTCTCAGCATAAAAAGGGATCACGCCTACAATAATGATTTGCTAGCATGAAGATACTGTAGAAAATCTTTCAGAAGCAGAACATTATGATTCCAGAGGACTAGGATCAAGTAAGGTAGTTAATAGTCTTAAAGGCCGCAGCATCTTTAGGTTCAGAAGCAAAGAAAAATTGGCTGAACTAAGCAGCAATAGAAAGTGTATGTTCAATATGTTCAACTTTCAGCTACTGCTGATCAAGAGTTTAGAATTTTTTACATGATATTGTAGAAGAATATAAATTTTCTTATATTGATGCATGAAATATTTTTTTTTCTGAAATATGTTCAGGTGCAAATGTTGCTATCTCTGTTTTTTTTTCCCATCTGTACAGAGTTGTCCAAATTTTATTAAGAGTTAAAAACCTTAAAAATTGTTTCACTACTTTGGTTCATTTTTCTTGTTTTTCCTTGTTAAACTAGTCACTTGGAGAACTCCTCTCAACATATTAGCTACTGTCCAGCACAATATTTACTTAAAACACATTGAAGTTAGAGATGCGTATGCTGTTTAATTGAATTAATGTGATCCAAGTTTTAATAAAAAGTAAAAGGAATGTTTATCTCTTATGAGGCTGTTGTTGCCATTAGCCATATTGGATGATTAAAGTATCCAAGTCAATACTGTTTAGTTAATCTTAGTAATAAGTTCAGTGGTCTGGAAGCCATATCTTGTTTTATTTTTTAGCTCAGTGCATGTTTGTATGTATGTAGAATACTGACTGAACATATAGCAGCTTCTGGCATTTTGAAAATTATTGTTAATTAACTTTT